TCTCTCTCTCTCTCTCTCTCTCTCTCTCTCTCTCTCTCTCTCTCTCTCTCTCTTTGCATAAATATTTGTTCAAAATCGTTTGTACATAGGTAGTTCAATTAGATTAATATATATATTATAAATATATATATATATATTAATTGATATTATCATGTTATAAATATATATATTAATTGATATTATCATGTATTAATATTATCATGTTTTATTTATTGCTTAAGCGCAGAAGTGTTTAGGCTTTTAAAAATTTACGAATATATTTACCAGCAGTTTAGTAGTTCTACGAAAAAAAGTGAAATCATTGAATTATATGCGCATTAAATCATATGCTCATCATTACATATATCCTTTAACGTTATACTTTTCCTAATATCGTTAAATATTGTAATAGATTATTCCGATAGATAGAAAGAGAGAGAGAGGTAATCTACACTTACGTCGCTATAAAAGAATGCTATAATTAATCGGTTAAAGTCCTTTTGTAAGCTTAAGTTATTATGTTTGTAACTTGCATTCGCTATTCAAAGTTTCATTGTCATAAGAATATATAAGTCGTTTTAAAAACAAATTCAAACTCGTGTGTTTATCCGAATAAATTTCATTGTTTGAAAGTAATATGCCTTCAAAGTTCTTTCGAATTATTCGACCGTGGAAAGAACGCTTTCGTTTTTTTTTTTGTGGGGAAATCTTATCGCTTGAGTACAGAGAATACGTAGGAAAAGTGTTGCAAATTGAGAAAGTCGCTTATATTTGCGCAATAAAAACTCGCTGATCTATAATTATAACGTTAGCAATCTAAGCGGAATGGTATTTAGAGCAACTGTCAAGAATGTTCTGATATAATATATAGTTACTTAATTAAAATCAATGACTGTTATCTTTTTATGATTGTTAATTTATTTAAAAAGTGGACCTATTATATAAAACTTTTCATAATTAATAAATCATTGAGCATAGATAGTTTTTATTTATATTTAGTTCAGAAAATTATAAGGAAAATATATTGAAAAGACAATATGAATATTATAACTGTTATTTAGATACATAAAATTTAAATACATTAATTATATCATTGAATTGTATTAGATGTGGGAAAAAGTTCGTGGCGTTTTTCCCATCTAACGGGAAAAACGCCACGAACTTTTTCCCGCACCTAATATTATTCATTTCATAGGCAGCAAATAGGAATTAGCAACCACGCCGGAGCTATGACAGTCGTGTATTCGACTGTTCAAAAATCGGTTATACTGATGTATTTATGATTCGGCCGCGGGTCTCAAAGAAGAAACGATGGCAACGGAGAAAGAGGAGATTCCAGTGGGATCTCCTTGGTACGGCAAGGTTTTCGAGTGTTGGAGGAATCGAAATCGAGTCAGTCCCGGCAGAATCGAGTTGCCCGACTGCGATTTTTTTATTGTGGCACCGCGACGTACGCTGCGCGTTCTGAGGCCGACCCTGAAGAGCGGCTGGTATTATGAGACGGCGGTTGACCGGCCGGAGTCGGTCAACGACAATTTCTTTAATCGGTGGACTAGGAGACCGCATCCGTCCGGAAATTGCAGGTGTTCTTTCCGCCAGTCCGCCAGCGCGTTGAGCACCACCGAAGAGCAAATAATATCCGCGGAATTAAATCACATCCGAACAAGTCTCTGTGAGGCCGAGAAGAACGCACGTGGAATCGAAGAATTGGAGCAAAGGGTATCCATGAATCTGCAAAAGTTACGAGACGATTCGGAACTTTCCGATTGCGCAAACGAAACGACGGTGTCTTCGACATTAATGATTGATCGCCAGCCGTTCGAACAGAGCGCCAAACAACAAATTGTCAAAGATTTAGAAAGGTAAGTCCATTATAACTCAACTGATACAATGGATAAAAACGAAACGTGAAAAATTTTTCTTAATTATCGTTAAACATTTTTAATAATAAAATAATAATATATCCTGAATACTCTATTCTAAAGTGCCTGCTATTTTTTTTCTAGATTGTAGTACAACTTCATTTATTCGAAACATGTCATCAAGGAACAAGATTGTTCCGAATAATTCAGATAATAGAGGCTCATTAACTCTTCTTTCTACCAAACCTTTTTAGTTTCAATAATAATAGTTGACGTTCAAATTTGTTAAATTCGGAAACTGCAGTCGAGTATGTCGAGCTCTTATTATCTGAATGGATCGATTAATAAGTGCTTAGTTATGAGCGTATATTTGGAATTAAGTATAAATCTGTTCGTATGAATGAAGTGCAAATAAACGTAGCCCTACTACATTTGATAAATTAAGAAGCATTATTTTGGATGTAGGTATATAAAAATAAAAGAAAATAAATTTTATAGGTATATCAATACACTTTTGGAAGAGGTACTTGATGATACCGTTAAGCATATAATTAGTGTGGAGAAAGATAATGTTCAACATTCTTGGCAACGAACGAAAAATAATTTGATAAAATCACAGTCCGATAAATCCAAAATTTCGATAAAGGACGGAGATGATTCCTTTATCGATATTAATCCTCGTCTTCTAGAAGATAAGATGCAGGAGGAATGGATTACAGAAAACGAGCATAAAAATCAATTCACCAGAGTTTCGATAAGCGAGGGTTATGTGAATCCCGCTTTCGTTGGTTCGACTGATGAATTAGCTTCTCTAGATTTCGATTGTTCTGCAAGAAAACACAGTAAGCGAATACATTTAAGAAAAAATAAGATTATTTATTCTTCAAATTTCATTAATAAAAGAATTTCTATAGATATTCTTTTTACACAATAAAACTTTTCATTACTGTTGTACTATTTTTGGAATAGCAGATTTATACCTTGGAATACCAACGGAAAGAATTTCTTCGGAAAAATTGGATTGTGTAGATTCTGGAATAAATAGCGTAGAGACCATCGAGTTTCAATTACCTGATCAAGAACCCAGCTTTGAACAGTCTCTTTTACGAATCATTGATGAGAAGTTGGGAAGAGGTTCTTCAATGAATAACTCGGAAGAAGACAGTCTCGAAACAAATTTGCAAAAAGCGGTTCCAGTAGGAGGAGAACGTGAGATTAACTCTCAAGAGATTGAACTAACTTCGTCTAAACTTGAGACATCATCGACAGATCCTGATTGGAAAGTGGAGCGACTGGAAGATACTGCTAACATGGATTGTAATTTCGAGAAACTACGCCTAGAATTCCAAAGCAACGACAGAGATTCATCTCCAAATGACAAGACTCTATTAAAGATTGATGTAAAATTAACGGAAAGTCCTCCTATCGAGCTCAAAGATTACAAGAAAAAATGGATGGAATTCGATGAAATCTCTTCGCAGGAAAATACCAAATTAAGTCTCCGCGATTCAGTAATGCTTCGAAGAAATAAAAAACCAACTATAGTTTTTCTACACGGTTTTGGTTCCTCGGCAGAAGTCTTCGAGCATCAGTTGCAGTATTTCTCTTCTCTCGGTTATCCTTGCATTGCTCCCGATATGCTCGGACACGGTATGAGCTCAGCGCCCAGACGTCCTAGAGATTATCATTTCAGCAAATTACTCAAGGATTTGGACGCTGTTTTACACTATTACGCTTTTAAACCTGGAGAGAAGTGCGTCTTAGTCGCACATAATTACGGGTAAGATATTGTTTGCTTAAAACTGTGCATTGTAAAATATTCTTTTTTACTTTTCCATAATTTGTCTCGGACAATTACTTTTATAAAAAAAAAGTTTTAGATTTATATTATTTTTATATTAAATTTATTAGATTTTTTTTTTTATTTTGGCAATATTAATAATTATATTTAATATTAATTATAACAATATTAAAAAATTGCACTGTGTAAAAAATAAAATGTTAACAAAGATATTTTTTAACATTTTTGTATTAATTTTAATATTTTTGCATGTCTCAGAAAGTCCACTATACGTTTTTAAGTTAAAATTAACATTTCATTTTTTACAGTATAATATCTGCGAATATTTTGTATAAATTTCAGGTGCAGTTTTGCTACAGCATTAGCTTGTAAATATGATAATAATATTCATCAACTTGTGCTAATATCGGGCGGCGGTCCGACTCCTCTTGCTCCACCGAGCACAGAATGCGCGGGCCACTGCTGTCTCAGAGCGATTCTTGCGCCTCTGCTGATGTGCGGTTTTCATCGAGATATTCTCTATTCCGCGCGAGGCCGACAGCATCCTTATTGCGGTCAAGAATCGATGAAACAATGGCCTTCGCACATGAAATACGTATTGAAAGGCATGAATTGGCCGCAGGGTGACTATGCCTTCCACAGGAAGGTATGCACACCAACGCTTCTAATACATGGACTAAGAGACAATAAAGTGTCGTTAGTACAAGAATGTCAAATGGAAAGAGTAAGTTCATATCATGTGATCCATCATCCAATTAAATATTATATACATAAATAAAAAATATATTATCTAAAATATAAATATAAAAACTTTATATATATATATATGTATATAAAAAAATATATATATATATATCTAGATGATTTTTTTAAAAAATAATATCTTGATTTGAATTTGATCTTGATCTTTATCTTAAATTTTTTAGACAATGATGAAGGCTTTCCTCGAAGCTATTCCAATGGCTGGTCATAATCCAATGACTGAATGCCCTCAACAACTGAATCATATGATACATTGCTTTATAGATTTGTGGAAGAACAAAAAATGGCAGTAGTGATATCTTGATTCTAAAAAAAATGTCTAAAATGCTATATTACCAAAATTGCATTGACTCAAGCAATTAACAAATTATTTCAATCAATTAATTTAATTATCTCAGTCAAATATAATATTTAACTGAAAAAGTAAGATACAAGTCAAGAAGACTTATTCGAATGAACTAAACGATAAGGATAAATCAATGAAGTTCATGTGGCCTCCTAAAAATGTGCCAAGCTTTGTACAGATGTATACAGAAAAAAATGTACAGATAAAATGAACGTCTCATTTGTTTAGATCACTTAAAATAACTTAATATTTCGAAATTTTTAATACTCGAGTTGATTCATGCACATACAATGCACTTACAATGCACATGAGCATCATTTGTCCTTATTTAATATTTGATAAATAATAAGAATGAAATGATTTTTAAACATTGTAAGTGTGAATCGGAACCGTAGCTTCAATATGTCAAGTATAAGATGTTCCATTTTAAATTAAACTTAAATTTAATACCTAAGAATTCTTAATAAATAAATTATATATCATGCCATTTAAAATAAATAAGTTTTATTAAAAAAGTTATTTTACTCTTTTATGCCAGAAAACAGTTATTCAAAGTGATCTAATAAATATTAAACAGAGGCTATGAAATAACGTATAGATTTACCAAAGATTGATTTATATATCGTTATTTTTCATACAATACTTTTATAAGTTATATGTTTTACAAATAAAAATTGTATACAGATGATTACATCACAATGGTTATTTATTTTAACAAAATTAAATAATTAATCAGTCGACGATGCGCAAATATGTGTCACGCTCGTTTGATACCACCACGATCGTCAGCGATTTAACGTTTGATTAAGTGGATTCTCAGTCGACTTCATCCATTCTTTCCTAAGTATCTGTTTCAACTGACTCAATCTCAAAGTAGGATTTTGTTCTTTAATTATCGGCATCATTCGTTCCTCAAAGCTCGCGTACGCGGCTTTCATTCGTTTCTCTGGATGTCGATCTATTTCAGGATCTTTTGTGCTGAAAAGAAAATGAAAGATAATGAAAGAAGAATTAAATTTAATTGTTATATTTTAGGAAATATAAAATATCAAGATTTTCCAAAGCTTTAATTATTATTGTGATTATACAGTATAATTATACCTTGGCCATAAATATAAAGCACTCTCTTGCAAATTGATGTAAATATTCTATATAACGAAAAATAAATTAAAATAGTTTAAAAAAATAGTAATTAAAAAAAACAATATTTATGTTTTAAAATACTAATTAAAAAAAACAATAGTAATTAAAAAAATTTATTCTTATAAAAATTTTAATATTTTGTTAGCTCTCCTATAGATTCTATTGTCGCCTATTATTTTTCTCAAAAAAAAATACATTAAATTGAGGGTGTATTTATATCAAGATTGTGTATAAATTTTATACAGATTATATTCTAATGTCTTGAACGTAATTTAATTACCTTAAAACAGATATAGCCTCGTCTATACCGTGAGCCGTTTCACCTTCCAAAATCAATCTGTTTAAATTTTCCTCGATAGGTCTCTCCTCTTCCTTTTTCTTCATTGCCACTTGATTTCGTTTCTCAGTGATAGCAACGATTTCGGCTCTGGTAATTTTCGAAGCAGGCTGCTTGCCACCAACTTTTATATTTGCCATTTCCTTTTCGAGCAGGGCTTTTGCTTCAGCTTTTTTTTCTAACTGCTGTTGACGTTTTTTCTCGATTTCTTCCTGAATATAATAAATGTGTACTCATTTCAAATACTGATGCAATTGTTTTTTTAACAATGTTCAATCGATATCCCAAAATAATAAAAAAAATATTAAAAAATTACAAATTATTCTAAATTGCATTTAAAATTAATTTGTAGTTAAGACACGTACTTGTTTTTGTTTCTTCTTTAATACTTGCTTATCATTGTCCTCCCATGCTTTATCTTCAGCTTCTTGCGCTTTTTTAATGGTTTCGGCCTCTTTGGCCGCTGCTTTTCTAGCCCGGGCAGCAACCGCCTTGCTATTCTCACCCACAAATTTCTTCGGCATATTTGATCTGCGATGTAATAAATCTCGATTGTTATTCGCGAGTTTTTCATTTGATTTGTATTATCGTGCTCTATATTCAAAATTAGTGGGCATGCGTTTTATTACGTTACTATATTTGAGTTGGCAATAGTCTGACATGCGCGAAATCTTGTGAAAATTAAGATTCAGGTTAGGAGACTTCAAAATAATCGACATTCTAAGGCAATAATAACACGGGAAGAATCGCTTGTATATTTTCAATCTTTGTGTGAACGGACGATAAACGATTTCACGAAAAGCACATGGTTACGCGGTTAAAGAGCGGCTACAAGTATTTAATCGTCACGCGTGAAATGTCGAAACAACGATCCACGAGAAATGCGAAGACGCCAAAGGTGACAGGCACTGATGTGAGTGATCATCTTGATCTTGCACTTACCGATTTCTCGCCCATATGATAGTCGATCATCTGTCGCGAAAGTAATGTGACATTTTCTGTTATGTACACTTTACCATCTCTGGCCAAGTGGCCACTCCATCCTCCGTGTCGATAAAAGTGACTAACCACGTCTACCAACCTTACGTTAGTTACGACTGGTTCTCGTCATTGCTGCGATTACAAAATTGTACCTACAGAATATTACACGTGGGTGGAACTGTGACATCTGTCACTTACCACGTGGCGCACGGAACGCACTAAATAAGACTCACTTTTAAATTCATTACTTTCACTTTTAAATTCATTACTTTAAACTTCGCTACAGTATATGTGTCATAGGAAATAGATAAAAAAGGATTAAAGAATTGGAATCGGTAGTAACACGTTGATTTAACACAACAAAAACTTCCCAGCAAACGAGAATGGATTGAAATGAATTGAAATAGATTCAGATTTTCAGAAATATTGATTCACGAATATTAAAATGAATGCTTTTCAATTCTGAATGCATTTTTATTCATTTAGGAATTGGAGCATATCTCTATGCCTTTCAAAAAATAATATTAGCTTTTTTTGTGCATAAACACAATTGTGAATACTGTTCAATTCAAAATTTTGAATAGGAAATGCAATTTTTCAATCCAATTGCATCCAATTGAATCTAATTAAATTCAAAAAAAGTATTCGCTATTTAAAATACGCATTTGGATAGAAAAAAAATTTCAATCCATTTTAATCTATTCTCATTTGCTAGGGAAACAACTTTTCAACAGGCAAGTATGTTTGATTCATTAGCTTGCTGAAAGTTTACATATGCTAATGAAAACTCATTATATACCTAAGTAGAACGCAGAAGTCAATAATATATCATAAAGACATCATGGTCTAATATTTAATTGTTAAGTGATAACGTTCTATGATGACGTTCTATGATATAATTATAATTTAATTACGACTCTACCTGGGATGCGTTCCAAAACTTGACCCTGCCAACTTCGAGTATCTTTTATCTTTATTCAATATTCGATGAATAAAGGATAAAATAAATATTCGGGTTGTGTGACGGTAGAATTTTCGAACGCGATTCGAAAACTCTACTATCTTCTTGTCTGTACTTGAGCGTATTCAATTTGCTGTCTCGACCCGATTTCGAATCGATGATTTATCCATTTTTGTAGCTGCAAAAAAGTGCTAAACTGTGCAAGAAATGAACGAATTATTACACTAATATTAATATTTGCAGTTTTTTGTCGTATGACAAAATTTTCAAGCGTGTTAATTGGCTGCAAAACAGAGAGGTTCTCAAATTTCTATAGCCAATCAACAGACTTTACAAATTTATCGTACGACAACAACAGATAATGTAATTAGCCTTATGGTTCTTGCACATAAGGTGCAGCAATTCTTAGCATAAGAAACAACAGTGTTTCTTATGCGTATTTTGATCACTTAATCTCTCGTTTTTCTGAGAACAATAATAAATACGCAATGGGACATTGACTGCTTGCCCACGCTTTTACATGCCGAGTGTGTCGAGAAATTGCCTTCATTACGCATTGTTTGCAGGATTCATCTACGGGACCTGTGATCTTAAATAAAGACGGAAACGTTGCAATTAAAATTCAGGCTAAACCCGGAGCGAAATGTAACAATGTAACCGGTAATGCAAAATATCATTTAATACAGCTTTTTTATAGAAGAAAGCACCTGTTTTAACGTTATTATGTAGTCTTTGCAAAGAAAGAAAACAATTTTATTAACGGAATCGCATAATTATTGTTAAAGAAATGAATATCCATAGATATTTCTGACGAAGCAGTAGGTATTGCAATCTCCGCCCCACCAACGGAAGGTGAAGCCAATGCTGAACTCATTAAGTATCTAGCTTCGATTTTTGGAGTAAGAAAATCTGATGTGTCCTTGGATCGAGTTAGTGTTTGGATTAATTCGAAGCAATTTTACTAGTTTGTTCATATTTTAAACTTTTGCTTTTTGCAGGGATCTCGAAGTCGGCAAAAAGTAATTATAGTGTCAGGAATTACGACAGATCAAGTTTTGACAAAATTGAAAGGAGAGATGGATAATTAAATGTACTTTTTTACTAAATTTTTCTGTCATTAAACGATTTTTCCCAATTTATACATACATATAATCTTTTCCTTATAAATACATTTTAATTTGTCCTATCTTTATATTTACTTTCCGCATATTTTTGATTAACCTTTTCGATACGATTTTATTTTTCGCCACTATACCTCTGCTGCGAACAGTCGAATCGCGAATAAGCTATCACTGTATGGGACAACTATGACGTAAATGTCATCGGAGAAGAGAAGCATAGTAGTTAAATTTTACTGTGTAAAGTAAATTATTAAAAGTAAATTATTAAATTATAGTCGTCATTAGTGCGCGGCGAACACTTAACGCTGGACGACTATAGTCGTCGTTAACATAGCGAATGTTTATTGTTGGACGGCTATAGTTGTCGTTAGTATCGAAAGGGTTAAAAGTTCAATTATTTTACATTATATAATATTATACAATTTATACATCTGTTTTTTTCATAAATGCAATTAACCGGATTAAAATATTGTCAATATTCATAATATTCAATGTACATTACATTTTTTAACAGCTACACGGAAAGAATTTTTTCTTAGAATTTATTCTAAAAATATGACAGTCGTTGGACAATATATTTTGAAGAATTTTAATGTAAAATCTCTCTTATTCATTAATAAAATACAATAGTATAAAATAAATTTGATCAATTTTACTAAAGTACATGATAAAAATCTTTAAAATATTGTATTGTACCACAACTACCATATTTTTTCAGGGTAAATTTTAAAAGAAAATTCTCTCCGCGTACGTATAATTGCACCAGATATAGCATTTTCAAATATCCATCGATTCTTTGAAATTTTACATGAACGTTGCTGTGACTAGCAATACAAGAATCGATGAAAATTTTGAAGGAAGTATAGCATAAGCGCATGGAAGCGCAACTGATGTGACCTACGATCACAGAAAATTAATACCTTTTTGGACACTAATTTTGAAATAATCCAATAATAGATACGTAATATTACGCTTTCACTCTTGTATTTCGAAAGCTTTGTCGTCGAGCCAAGGTCGGAAGATGGGTAGCGTCGATGGATAATGAGCACCCCGTTTGGACGGTGCCGTACCAACTGGTGCACCCTCCGGCCTCAAAGGGTACGTGGCTAGCACGATCGGTATTTGTAATTTGATTTCTTTGTCCAGACTCTTCGGGCTTATGACGAACTGCAGAGAAACGTTAAGCAGATAAATTTAAAGAATTCCTCGCGAGGATTCTGACGCAATTACATTTCTCTCTCTTGACACTCACGTAAACGTGATAAAGAACGTTAATCAAGTGGCACCCTCTCAGATTCGTCGGCGGCAACGGAGGAACGTACATTTGTTCGTTTAGCCATTCCTCGCTCTCACCTGGCCGAATCTTCCCCCTAGAAACGCTAGCCAGCTCGCGAGTCTCGCTAGCGAGCACTTTACCTCGACACAGATACTGTATCGTTTCGGTGAGTGACGCCTTGGTTGATTTCATCGTCACCTGGTAATTCGAATTTTCAATTTTTCATGCTTTGAGTATACCTTCGAGATTTGTATTTATTAAAAGCGTTGAAATTGTATCTATTGTATGCTGATTAAAATGTACCTTACTGCGATTGCTGACAGTCGCAGAAATACCGATCGTTTCCCCAGGTACATATCCACCCCGGTCCAGACTAACCCTGCAGAATACAGGACCACCCGATACGCAAGAGACTCCCACACGCTGTTCAATCTCCTGCCTTGCAGGTTGCTGTTCGATCACGAAGGCATTTTATTCATATATATATAATTTCGGAATTCAATTAAATTTTCTAAATTTTCTAAATTAACCGATATCTTAAAAAGGAAAGAGTGTTTATTCTAATCGTTAATATTTGCCGATACATCTATCTATCTACAATTGAACAATGCTCGTCGTTGAATGCTGTCCGCCAACGCGAAAAATTTTTTCTAGAGATGCAAATGTATTGCTGCCGCAATATATGGGCGGTGATTTCATCATGATCTAGCGATTATCGTTATGTTGTAACTGGCGTAAAACAATGCAAATACGAATCACCACGCAAACGGAATGTTTCGCATCTTTTTATTTAATCTTAAATTTATTTGTATCGAACGTGTCGAATATATAATTTCTTTAAATTCTTTGTCTTGCATGAAGATATTTGCAACGCTTTCCATACAGGTCGGTGACCAGTATCTGGGTCTTGGTTATGATAATGAACGCTGAGTATTCATTTAATTGCACGCGCGAAACACTTTCCTTGGTCTGAATCGGAATTATGTGAAGGTGTTCATTCAGGAAACTAATGTTTATCCGTAATAATTTTTTAGTAAAACAAATATGACTAATTCAATCAATGAATTTAACCCGTAAAAGATACGTCTCTTTTGAGCACTCGTAAAAAAAAAACACCTAAATGCGAACTCACATCAGCATTAATGTTTTACATCTTCCCAGAGTTAAAAATGGAATTAAAATTTATTATATAATTATTAAATATATTTTTCAATGTAAAATTTTTTAACTAATCGATTGATAATATTGAATTTTGAAAAAATATTCATTTTGCGCGTTAAACAAAATTAATTTCTTCAAATATCCAAGTTGGAAATTTTTCTGGTACAAATTTATACCCACGTGTCATTTACGAATTAAAACGTAATGATAAAGTACACCTGGATTAATTTATTGATTATCCTAATAAAAAACTCTCACCGCTAATATCGGAGGTTCCAGATTTAAGTCAATCGGATTCATGACGATGAAAACTTGTTGATTTTTGTGAGTAAGTCCACCTGGCTCACGAAGAGCCGCTTTACAATAATATTGCACCCATCCATGTTTTCCGAGAAAAGTGGAAGGTAGACCCAATGGCAACCCCAATTTGAACGGAAAACTATGTATTCCGGGAGATAGCAATGATGGTCCTTCGCCTATTAAAAATGTCATTTTGTATCTTTAATTAAGTTAAAAAGACGTCAAGCTATCTCCTTAATTACATCACAGTAAATTATTAGAGAGAAAATTTTTGTTAAGCTATTATCATACAATACTATTATGCTATATTATACGAATAATTTACTGAAGCGCACACTACTTATTGTTGAAACGTGATTTAAAATGTTAAATTACATATCCTCAAAATTGTATATATACAATATAATCTGAAATAATTAAAATTCACCTGGTTCACCCAACAACCGCATGCGAAAATCAATGTAGTTTTCTTTGTCGTAAACTCTCTCGGCACGTTGACTACGTACCCGAACTACACCTTCTCCCACAACATGGAAATGCAGTCCCGAGACGCTACGGTAATGTACTCCACATTATTAAATTTGTGTTACTTACTTAAGTCTACCATGTACATATCTATGTAAATCTGACACTTTATCGCGTCTTAATAAAAAAGATTTTTGTCTTCAACGCATATACTTTTTTACGCGCAAAAATGATTTTTTCGACCATGAACTCAATACCTTCTTTCTATAAAACGTTACTTACTAAGCTTCATCGTCCAGCTCTATGAGAACACGGCCGGACAAGAAGTGGCCAGGAAAATATAATAGATTCGTGTTATCGAAAAGAATCAAGAATTTGCTGAGTTTTCTCGTCATCTTGTTGCCGAAATGGGAATATTTTTCGTTATGTATTTGCGGAGGAGGTTTATGCAGACACGTTTACGTCACCGCGGCTTCACGCTCACTGAATACACGTCGAGGAACGCGCAGGAGCAACCTTCTTCTTCCATGCGTTACCTCGTGATGCGTGGTGAGAATCACTGGCTTGCATCGCATCAGCAACACGTTCGTAACATGGCATGCCTCTCTCCTTCTCTTTCTGTTCTTCGCAATCTCTCTTTTTCTGCGTGCTGATGGACTGGTACCAGCTACGATACTACAATCCACATCATCATCGTACTTTTCGCAACAGCAGCACGTTACGCACGCATTTTCCGTGCTTCTCACGATCGAATGAGCGATCGAAAGAAAACCGATCCGCCGATACTCTGGACTGTATCCTCACCCACCGCGAAATTTTCTGTCACTATTTCATAGTAGTCACCGCACCTTCTTGTCCATTCTTGGAGACGCACTCACTTTCGCTCCCTACCTTCCTACCTGGTTGCTTCTCTACCACCTCCCATCCAGTCTGATCCGGACTGGTCTCACCTGGCTTCACCTGCCTGTAGGTATATGTGGCCAATAGCAATACTCTAATCAATATTACTGCTTTTGGCATTAATGTACGTTTAAATAACGGTATGTTTTGTATTAGATTTTTTTTAATGTTGCGTTAACCATGTTAAAATTGTGTTTATTATAATGAAAACGATATGTATTTAAACGCTTAAATAACATTTAATTTTAATAACGAAAAGATAATTTATTAGGATCTATATACAATTTTTAGAATTTTAATATTTGAGATCCATTTTAAATTACAAAAATTATTACAAGACTGGTATATAAATAAATTAACTAAGTAAGAAAAGCGTCAACTCCAATTTTAAATTAGATGTGATAATATTCATATATATGTATTTTTTAATATATGTCAGATATATGATTATTTTCGCATTTTTGCAATACAATCAATCTGAAATAATAATGATAATAATAACTTAATAGCGAATTAAATTTTGTCATGCAATAAAGAAATTTATTACCTCATATTAAAAAATATTACCTCATATTATGATCGAGATAATCAGATAAATTATCCATCTAATGAATCTAAAATGAATCTATTTTTCACCTATAATTTATGCCGAAATTAAAATAGAATTCTATTTTTATATTTTCAATATTTATATTCTACAGTATTTTTATATTTTTATATTTTTATATTTTTATATTTTTATATACCGCATAAAATTGTAAAATATATCAAAATGTAATATAAATTGTAAAATCTATCAAAATACACAATATATGTATAAACATACATATCATAATTACTAATAAAATTATAAATAAAATTCCATCTTAAAATCTGATATAAATTATAGATTGTTTATAATGGATTTAATAAATATTCAGTTGGAATGAATTTATTGTAAAAAAAGACAGCATGAATTTGAAATAATTTCAATGCTTTTTATTTCTATTATATTTTTTTCTTCGTACTAATTTATTGATCAGATTTTGACGGGAATAATTATAAGAGATTTTTATTTTTCAAAATTCTGATTTTATTGATTTATTTATTCATATATTATAATCTTATTTGTATTTATAATTATAATAGAAGTATTTTAAAAAAATAGAAAAATCGAATTTTCTCTCTCTCTCTCTCTCTCTCTCTCTCTCTCTCTCTCTCTCTCTCATTTATGAAATATTTTATATTGATTATTTTAAAATTGTAATCTTTAAACGCACATGTATATATTCAACTTTGACAAAGCTAAACAGTTCTGGCAATCCTCAGATTTGATTTATCTCTGAAATAGAAACAACTTGAAATTATCTACATTAGGCAACGTAGTGCTGCATACCGAAGCTGGTTGCGAAGCTAGTTGCGAATTATCGATTTTTCTTTGATGTTTGATTCCTTTTATCTTTAGAAGTGTCAACAGTGTAGTACTTGCAGTGGTGTGTTTATACTTTATTGTTATAAATTTATTATTTAAAAAGTAACTAAGTTTATCTCGCCGTGAATTGAGATTTAATGATTTATCGTATCGCGTGTTTTCTTTATAATTTAGAAACTTGTGATGGAAAATAAAGGAATTAGTCAGAAGGAATACTTGAAAAAGTATACATCCTTAGACGATGGTAACATAAAAAAGAAGAAAAAAAAGAAGAAATATAAAACAGGAATGAAAACGTAAGAATAAATTTATAAGTATTTTAATTTAACAACGGTATTATATTATAATATATTTCGCATTGAAGTTAGGTTATGTTGTCAGCTGTGTGTGATATTCTAGAATGCAATGTAAACGGAGGCTGCATAAACATAATATTAATACGTTCTATTATTGATATAGTCAATCATTTTTCACGTAAAATTACTGAATATTATTTTCTAAATAAAATTACATTATTTTAAAAATAATGCTAAAAAAATTTAATTACTCAGAACATATTTCTGTCATATTTTTGTTGAGATATTTTCACATGGCGATTAATATATTTGCGCATTTAATTTCATCATATAATTAAAAAGCTTTCTTGGCCCTTATAAACTAGTTTTTGCAAGGGAAATCTTTGACCTGAACATGAATCGGATGGAAATATTTTTGCAGAGTAAAAATTATAGATGATGATATAGATTTGAAGAATATGAGACCTATTGAAGAAGGTGAATTCGATATCCTTTTAGAAGGAGAAGATGCTCCTCAAATCGCTGGTATAGTTGACGAACGTGGACCAGTTGATTTCACAGATAAACGAAGGTGGAAAATTATAACTGAGAATGACGAAGGTGATTTAACTATTATTAATCATATTATCGATAAAGATAAAAGAAATCTTAATGAAACAAATACTAAGCAGGCTAATGACTTCGATTTGAGTCCACCTAGAGTTAAGCATTCTAAAAATAAACATGTGGATTTAAGTCCTCATGAACAATCTAAAGGTGATAGTTCAGACTTGAGTTCACCTAGATCTAAGCATTCTAAAAATAAATGTGCAGATTTGAGTCCAAATGGACGATCAAAGGATAGTTCTGATCTGAGTCCACTTAGACTGAAGCATTCTAAACATAAACATATCGACTCAAACTCATATAGACGATCTAAAAATGATGATTCAGATTTAAGTCCACCTAGGCAATCTAAAAATTATGACTCAGATTTAAGTCCATCTCGACAATCCAGAAATAATGATTCTGATTTGAGTCCACCTAGGAAACTTAAAAATTATGACTCAGATTTAAGTCCACCTAGAAATACAAAACATCGGACTTCGACTTACAGTACATCTAGACGAAGCTATCGAAGTTCAGGTAACAAAGATAGTGATTCGGATTTTAGTCCACCTAGAAAAAATCGCAAACAGAATCTAGATACAGATTTATATGAAAGCAGAAAGAAAATGAAGGACAAAGATTCGGATTCAAGTATATCTCGGCGAAATGATCATCGATCTCGGAGGGATAATTCGCCACGTTCCATTTCGCATAGAGACAATAGAGGGCATGATTATTACGATAAAAAAAATTTATCCAAATACGGTAGACAGGATGTTTCGAGGTAATATTAACGTTCGTTTATTGATGAAGATTATAATCAATATTCTGTTGTTGCATATAATCGATTTTTAGTCTTAGAGAAGAATATATAATTAATATTCGTTTTTTTAATAAACTTTTATAATATTTTGAGATTAAGAAATTTCTTTCACAAATACTGAATTTTTATTATTAATGTTTTCAATTTTAGGGAATCTTATTACTTCTCATTCTTTAAATTCTGTTGCATATGAATTAACAAAATGATAAATACATATAATAATCTCTTTGGACAGATCGAACAGGGATAAACAAGAAAAGAAATATGAAGATAGAGATCATAAATCTCGATCGTATTCGGATACACGGGAGAAAAGAAAAAAGACGCGTTGGGATGAGGAAACAAACGTTTCTGAACGTGGACACGCGAGAAATTATTCCAGAGATCATTACGGTCGAGCAACAAAGACATTAGATGGAAAAACAGCAGGATTTCAAGCTGCAACAGCATTGCGAGAAGAAACGGAAGCTCATAAACGACAAGAGGCCGAGCATTTTAGCAAGGTAATATTCTTTAGTTCGAAATTATATTTATAAAAGTATTTATTTATTCATGGAAGCTACAGATATAAGTTAGTTAAATTGTTTCAGTTAAGTAAAGAGATCACTGGAGAAGGACAAGCTACGATTGTACGTGACAAAACGGGAAGAAAGCGCAATTTAGAAGCAGAAGCAGCAGAAAAACAAGAACAGGAAATGAAACAACGAGAGATAAATGAAAAGTACGCCAAATGGGGTAAAGGGTGAGCTATTTTTCTTTCATCTTTATTTTGTTCTTGTTTTTCTGATAAATTCTTTGATTCTCTCGCTAATAAATGTCCATGTCTTATTTTAGCTTGAAACAAGTGGAGGATCGCGAGGAAAAATTAAAAAATGACTTGTACGAGATGCATAAACCCTTGGCGAGATACGCAGATGATGCAGACCTAGATAAAGAATTAAGAGAACAAGAGAGGGAAGGTGATCCTATGTTAAAGTATATAAAACAAAAACAAATAAAAGAGGGAAAAAGAAAGCCAGGTATGTAGAGAGAGAGAGAGAGAGAGAGAGAGAGAGAGAGACAGAAATTTATATTTCTCTTCCTATTGTATACTTAAAAAAAATTCACTCGTTTTAATTGTAGATCCACCACAATATCAAGGTTCGTACGCGCCAAATCGATTCGGTATTAAACCCGGTCATCGATGGGATGGGGTCGATAGAAGTAACGGATATGAGAAGAAGTGGTATGAAGCACAAAATGCAAAAGTAGCTTTACAAGAAGATGCCTATAAGTGGAGTACAGCCGACATGTGATCATGTTCACACATATGTATTACTATAGCAGAAGGAGTTTCCAATTCTATTTCTATCGATCGTTAATAAAGAAGAATCAATAAAGAATTTTAAATGTTTTGATAAGTATATCTTTTAAGTATTTCTTTTTTTTTCTTCCTGAAGACACGTGTAACAATCCGTGTGATTACTCCAATGTAAAAGAATCGTTTAGTCGCATTTCATTATTCTAATCTTTAGTCTCCTTGTTCCTCGCAAATACTATAGTAGTCTAACATCGCGCAAAACAATTGAGATATATTAGTAAGGTAACACGCGTGGAGACCGCGAAATCGATATTCGTTCCAGAAAACGAGAAGAACAGAGAGGCTGGCGCCGGTCTGGCAATGGTCTGCCGACGATGGTCTAGGCGAGTGGAATACCACCGTCTGCGAAATCGATCGTGCGCTTTTAAGGTCGCTAGAATCCACTCCGGATGACGGGTAGTATGGGAGTATTGGGAGTGGCGGAGCGCACATTTGACATAGTCATTCGCGGCGCGTGCGATTAGGAAGGCGATTACCGGATCGAAACGGTTTACGGTTCGCCGTACAATCGCATCGTGCAATCTCTATCGAGTCCTGGCACCGAATCCTCGCGGAAGGACAACCGTCATACATTGGTAACACTGAGGCTTGCGCTTTAGGCTTTCATAGCCAGCGTGTCGCTTCGCGCCGGTTAAAACGCGGCGATCTCTTCCGCGTGCGTGCCGTCGTCGTCGCCGCCGCCGCCGCCGCCGCTGCGTTTGCCGCCTCCACCGCCTCCACGGCTCCTCCACGGCGCGACAAACGGAGGTAACTGTGTGACGCGAATATATATCTGTTGATATATACATAGACTGGTACGATCCGGCTTGATCGCCACGCGAGCAAGGGCAGGGTCGTAAGCGAGCGACGCCAGTATCGTTCGCGACGTCGACGGGATTTCTCGTCTTTACGTGCACAGTTCGCGGTGATGTTTGACTTTCGGTGAGTCACGATCGGCCGGTAGAATCCTTCCTTTGTCGAAGGAGACAACGGCGACAGGACACCGGGCATCGCGTGACAGCGAGACGCATGAAGAGGTGTCGGATTACTTTTAAGTGTGAAGGATTGTCTCGCAGGTGCCGGCGCCACGCGACGTGTCAGTAACCCCCGAATAACGGTGGGATGCAAGGGGTGGGCGCAGGAACAACGTACATATATGTATGCACGCATATGTAGATAAAGAGAGAAAGAGACGGAAAGCGAGAAGGGAGAAAAGTAACTTCGAATGAAAGTCGTCGAATTTTCACAGTCGATTAAAGGTGCAAGATATACTTTTGAGAACTTCAAAGAAATTTTAGTCGCTACTAGAGACAGCTATTTTTCATTACCAAAGGATAATTTAAAAGGATGTTTGAGACGTAGAAAAAGTACGACGCGACATTTTACAATCGCGACGTTTTATATCCTCAAACAGTGAATGATAGAAAAAGCGAGTGGAAGAGAAAAAGTTAATAAAAAGGAAGACAATAGAAAAGTGCAAAACGAAAATTTATATTTTTTAGCTTTTTGAAAAAGTAGAACGTAACTTGTATTTACTACAAGACTTGTCTCCACTGAGAAAAGTGATGACTTAATTGTTTTTATTTGATAACGATGTTAACAAGAGAACTACAATAGTACGGGTACTTTTTGACGACGTTCAATTTAATTTGACACAAGAAAAGTTAAGAAAAGAACGAATCAGGAGACATGGGATGTAATACCAGTAAGGAGAGCGTCCAGCCGGCTGTAGACGAGGCGAAAGAAGGGGATTCCATCAAGAACGGGGGTAAGCGATCATCCCTTTCAATTTCTTAATCGTACAAGCAATATTAGTCATTATGCAAATTTAAAAATAAGCTATACGATAAACATGATTTAATTTTGTCTGCATTCCGCTTTACTAGAGTTTGCATGATATTAAATTTCCGCTTTACTAGAGTTTGCATGATATTAAATTTTTGTATTGACGATGATTAACCTCTCATGTTATGCTTTTTCTGATTTTTATGTTTTGCAGTTTTTTGCATCATTCTAATCTTCAAAAAGTGCGACTGTCGCAAAACTATGGCGTTTGTTTATCTTGACAATGACACAGTCTGCTTTGTTTCACGATGATAAATGTACCTCTGTTCACTTTGTTAGATTCTTCAAGCTGATTGCGTGCACGCTTCAGTAATAATATCAACGCAATCAGTAGGATCGGCAGAACGGACGACTATTTTCCTCATAACGAATGCGTTCGATGTGCACAATGATGAATATAGAAATTTTTAGCATTCCTCTGAAATATTATTCTTCGTGTTTTGCAAGCAACAAAATCATTCTTGATTATCCTTTCAATAAACCGCGGTAGAGACTTGAGTTATTAATTACGATCGGTCGAAATCAAATGAAAATAAAAAATAAATCATATTTTTTAAATCAACAATCAATAAATTGTTATTTTATTTCAATCGAATATATATAGAATAAAATTGTTGTGATGTAAACGATTTTTAAGAAAACTATATATATAGTAAAAATTATTTAAAAATAAATCTTAATTCTATTTGTCTTGTTATTTACGGAATTGGATATATAGAATATGAACTTACAACTGATATTAATAAAATGGATATTTTTATATACTCAGATGACATTATTTATTTTCTGTATCTTATTAAATTTTTAGAAATTTTAATGTTATAATTTCCTCCAGCTTACAATAATACACCATTCTCGATAACGCGCCAGAAAATGAACGTATCTTGGCAAATGTAAAATAGGACGCTCAACGCTCGTGTAATCCGATGGGGGTATATCGAAATTCCGAATAAAAGTGCTGATCGCGTGATGTATGTCAAGGTTTAACTCTTCACTGTTTCTACAACTACGAAAGTTTCCTTTTATAATCGAGATATGACAAGATGATGGAGTCTAGTTAAAATAGATGAAGAAACGGATTTAACAAAAGAAACATTAATAAAAAGCTTCATTTCTGGAGCGCGATATTTTTATCACAATAAATGAATCACAAAGTAATATTTATGGGACAATAATAAACAGTACCTGAGTTTTCGCAAGTATTAATGAACGTTATAGGAAGAATAATTTGTAATAGTAATAACAATAACAATAATAATAAACACAGAAAATCGAATATTGATTTCTTCTCTCTTTGAGACGTTTATTTGGAAGGATTTGATTGAACTTATGTTTTTTTTTTTTAACAAAATGATAATGTCTTTTTTCGCGCGTTTCAGTATTGCACTACACAATTACAAAAGCACATTGATTTATATTTAAAGAACTTGATTTATCAGAAGTTGATACAGCAAATTTAATTATTAAGTTTCGGCAATTCCTACTTTACTGGCTGATAATAAAAACCGTACAACGTAACTTGGAGTTCGAGTAAAATCAATTACTCGAAGCTTCGATAAATTTCCGCATGTGAGATATTGATTGTGAGTTTCATCAATACCGACGCAACTGCATAGGGATTCCAACTATGTGCCTCGCATAAGAATGCCGATCAAATTGCGGAATGATGAATGGAATCGATATAAGTCTTGCGAAAAGTTATTGTTGTAGCGTGTATGTTAATCGTTCTTGAAAATAGAATTTCAAGTTTTCGCAAACGGAGAACGAAAAGCGAAACATTTAAAAATTTTTGTTAAAATGTTTAAAAATTGTTGTTTTTTTTTTCTTAGAATAAAATGTAGAATATCTTCATCACATGGTAAGGATGATTTTGCTGAAGTATCTAAAAATTTAGTTAGAAAGAGATCTAAAAATAGATCTATAAATAATTTTATTAGACCAAAAATATATGATGAATTTATTCACAATGTATATATTAAATTGTTACATACGAATAACTAGTGTTGGCTCACATTGGCATATCCTCATTTTCCTCATTAAATCATTATATTTATATTGAATTTATCTTGAAGAATCTTATATTATATTATTAATTTTAATTCTACATAATTAAAATAATTATAGGATGCTTAAACTGATTGCTAGAATGTTAAAATCTTTCGCAGCTGTTCATCATAAAATGTTCATCTTGAAATTCCTACATTAATTATGTGTATAATTATTTTGATGATTCAAAAGTGATAAAAGTGATTTTTATTATGTATATCTATAGCTAAATTTTTAAGTACTTCCACAAAACCATCCTTTCTATGTGAGAATGTTTCATCGTAAATAAAAATTGTTAACGTTTTAACAAAAGCTTTTAAATGTAGTTTTAGTTTTCCATTTCATTTGCGTTTGAAAACTTTGTTTCCAGATCCGTATTTATATAGTTCAAAATATTTCAGCAAATATTTTGTTCTTTCTGTGCATAAATATTTGAAAATATCAAAAAAATTTCTTGAATCTTCAGTTGTATATTTTTCCAGCAATAAAATTCCAATAAGTTATGAATATGTATATATGTACTTTCTGGTAACTGAACTAATCTTGTGGCTAATCTAATTATAACAATCTATACATAAAAAATAACACGTCTGACCTAGTTCTGTCGCGTACAATTGTGGATCGTTATCATTCCAGGCTTAAAGTGACTGTACTTGTAATTGAAAGTAATTCTTTCCTTGTTCCAAAGAATATTTCACACGTAATGAAGTATAGAAGATAATAAAAAGAAGTAATATAATTAATGTAAACTATGCCACGATTGCATTTTTCTTCTCAGCGAAAGTTGAATATAGATTAAATGTTATCCTTTTATTGTATAATAATTTCAGTATTTGTGATAGCAATAAATATAAATAATTATCAAGTAATTAAAGCAGCTTATATTATACAATTTATCGTTCATTGATAATTTTAATAGAGCATGTAAACTG